TAAAGTTAATTAAGTTTAAAAATATTTAGCCCTCGTTTATTCACAAAGCCTTGCCTGTAGTTCCGCATTTATACCACTAGTGGGCRCTGTTCACCACTAAATGTCAGGATCAAGCATGGCTTCCTGTGTGCTCTGGAGCAGATTTAAACTTTACACTCTATTAATTTAATCTCTAATCATTCAAGTATGGCTAAAGAGAATAATTATATTACAGATTTGTTGGTAACATAATAAATGTGACCAGTTGTTTTGCCACCAATTAAGTTTTAGCCAACCTCAATCGAATTTTCCATCAGATTTCAAATGAAATGCTGRAAAACTATGATTTTTTTTACACAATTCAAACGAGAGATTTTTTTCAATTATTACACGTGTTAAAAGTGGGAAAATATTTTTGTTTTGATAAAAAAAATATTCAAACAAACAGGACAAAGACAAACTCTCTTCAGAGGTGGACCTTTTTTTAATGAAGAGCTTTTTTGTCTTTGTGATTCATCCTTTAGCTGAATTGGCAGCATTTTTAATTGCTCCCATTGATTGATGGAATAAAAACAGGACAATGCATATAACCCGAGTGTCCCCCTCCCCACACAAACACACACACTCAGAAGAAAGCTGGCGAAGTGAACTGGGTGTAGCTGCGCCTGTGTGTGTGTAAGAGTGTGTGCGCCTTGGCCAATGGAACCAGATCCTCCCTGCAGTGCGTAAGAGCGCGTTTTAGGATTTAACCAAGTCTTTGCTGCGGGGCTGGCTGCAGTCTTCAGCAGAGCCCGACGGCCTGAGAGCCTCTCGACACAATGAGAGTGTAATCTCACTCGTTCTGGAGTCAATTTTATCCYTTTTTTGTTGTTGTTGTTAATTGAATTAAACAAACCCACATCGTTTTTGTTTTAGTTTTTTTTTTGTTTCCGAATCATGACTGGAGTTTTCGATCGGAGGATCCCGAGTGTGAAACCTACAGATTTCCAGAGCTCCTTTCAACTCTCCGCCATGCACCATCCGTCTCAGGAATCCCCCACTCTCCCCGAATCCTCGGCCACGGACTCTGGCTACTACAGTCCCGCCGGGGGAGTCCCTCACGGCTACTGCTCACCCAGCTCTTCGTCGTACGCGAAGCCCCTCGGCGCCTACCAGTACCAGTACTCGGGCGTAAACGGATCCGCTGGAAATTACGCGACAAAATCCTACAGTGATTACAGCTCGTACACGACTCCCGCCTACCACCAGTACGCAGGGACTTACAGCAGAGTGCAAGCCCAGCAGAGTCCACAAGGTACGGGCCCAGAACATCTTTGTCTTGGATTAATTAGTTCGTTTGTTTTGATTTAAAAATTATTTTAAAAAAACACGAGAAAATGATTTTTTACGCATTTTCACCTCAATGTTTACAGTGTTAAACAAAGACAATCCAATAATTTCATGATTTTTTAATGGAATTGACTCAATTCTAAGATGCTATAAATAAAAAAATTTAACTAATTTATTTTATAATCTAGATCATTAATTGTTTTCAGACGAAAAACATTTTTAAATCTGACGCACGTTCATTTTAATTAATTAATTTATTTATTTATTTTTGTTGTCTTTTTTTTAAATAAGAGAAAGAGTTAAGTGAGCCTGAGGTGAGGATGGTGAACGGGAAGCCGAAGAAGGTGAGAAAGCCCCGGACCATTTATTCCAGCTTCCAGCTCGCCGCCTTGCAGAGGAGGTTTCAGAACACGCAGTACCTGGCGCTGCCGGAGAGAGCCGAGCTCGCAGCCTCGCTGGGACTCACGCAAACACAGGTGAGATTTTCTTTACACGATTAAAAAAACATCATTTTAAAAATACACAAAGATAATGTCTGCATGGGTTTGATGTGTGGAGTTTTTACGCGCCTTTTACGCATCAAATTTAAAGCTGAAATTAATCATTTTCTTCCATTTTCCCCCCTTTTTTTCAGGTCAAGATTTGGTTCCAGAACAGGAGATCCAAAATGAAGAAGATCATGAAAAACGGCGAGCTTCCACCAGAGCACAGCCCCAGCTCCAGCGACCCCATGGCCTGCAACTCGCCGCAGTCCCCGGCCGTGTGGGACACGCAGGGCCCCTCCAGGGCGCACGGCCTACAGCCACAAAACCTCAACACGGCGGCTTCTAACTTTTTGGACAACACGTCGTCTTGGTACGCCTCCGCCGGCAGCTCCATGGCTTCCCACCTTCAGACCCCCAACTCGATACAGCACTCGTTGGCTCTTGGAGCCGGGACGTTATACTGAAAAACAAACAAACAAACAAAAAAAAATGTTGTTCATTTCGTTTGTTACTATTTTTTTCCTTCTATGGGACTTGTGTTCACATTTCAGAGGAATATGCAATGTATCTGATGACAGTCATAGAGGAAAAAACGTGTAAAATGTGTAAATGTGTGCATGTAATTTATTGCATTTTGGAAGACTATTAAACGTTTAAAAAGGACAGTGGATTTTTTTAAAAATCTTCAGCTTCTCCTCGGTGTCTCTCTTCCTTCAGTCATCGTTTATTTTCTAGAAAATCAAAGAAATCTGACAGAGACTGCTGCGCCCCAGGCGACAATTTGACGCAAAGAAAAACCGCAAAAATGGTTTCAGCTGGATTATCCGCAAATTAAACTCACAATATCTCAATTAACCAAGATATAAAAGCAATATGAAAGCAATAAAAAGGAAATATAAGTTTAATCTAAAAGATACATTTCTTTACATATTATTATTATTATTATCATTATTATTATTATTATTATTATTATTATTATTATTATTATTCCTCTTCTTGGTATTATTGCACATAATTAGCTTAGTGTTTTATTTCACTATTGGTTCCAGCTCCACATGTGAATTAAAAAAAAGCCCTGCAGTAGCTGCAGACAGGCTGCAGTCGCGCCCGCTTTGTGTCCCCTGCAATTACTCGCTTTGAATGGCAGAGAGAGGAGGCGAGGATGAGGAGGGGGGAGGGGAGAGGAGGGGGGCCGGCGGCTCGGAGATCTGAGACAGTCCGCATTCCTGTGGGGGTAGACCGGCTCCAGCGCTTCGCCACATACCTGCGGCCGCAGCCCACCTTCCGGGTAAAAAAAAAGGAAAAGAAAAGAAAAAGTAAGAATAAAAGAAAAGAAAGGAAGAAAAATATTTACTAGGTTTTTCTGTGTTTTTAGAACGGTGCCACTGATGAGCTTCAAGATTAAAAAAASATACAAAAATAAAGAAAGAGATTTTTGCGAACATGCGCAAAATGCTGCGATCAAACCTTACGTGACCCGCAGTGACCCGTGCGTATTCGCAATCCCACCTGACACTGAACGTTTTTTCTAACTATTTATTTCAAAGCGCACCCCCCCCC